TTCCTGGTACTAGAGTCCCAAGGCTGTCAGCTGCAGACAGAATTGGCCCTGGTCTCTGTGTCACTCTGGCAAGGATGCCTGTCGCCCAGGCTCCAAGGGATGCCCTGGTCTGTCCGAGAGGGTGCCCAACTCCCCGGCTCTTAGGGAGACCCCCGTCTCTCAGAGAGGGTGCCTGTGCCTGGAGCTCACTGTTCATCCGCCCCCCCCACCTTCATACTCAAAGGGCCAGGTGATGTCATGCTTGACCAAGACCAGAGTGACATCACTCCTTCCAAGTCAGGAACTCCTCTGCTGAGGTGGAGGGCTGGGTCAAGGAGAGGGCTCCAAGGGCCCATCATCCCTCACCCCTCCACACTCCCCTGGCACAGGTCTAGGGAATGATGCCCAGCATGGTGGGCCAGGCCGCTCCGTGGCGGTGCCCTCCACTCCCCCTGCCTCCTGTCACCCTCTCCCCCCACCTCCCCGAGACAGAAGACCATCTTCGAGGCCCTGGAGGGTGACCCGCTGTTCGAGAAGCACGGGGACGCTGCCCTGCCGCTGGAGGAGTACCGCAAGCTGACCTTCCTGCGCTGCAAGCGAGTCTGCGAGTTTGGGCTCCTGAGCTTGGCGGACATGATACAGGCCCCCCTGCGGGTGCAGACGTTCCTCGACTGCCTGGGCATGTACGACTGGTCCCTGGGAACCAAGTACGTCCTGGACATGATGGTGAGTGGCTGCCCGGCCCTGCCTGAGGGCCACCAGCAGGGGAAGAGGGGTGGCAGGAGGCTTGCTGTCATTGCCCTGACTTTGGCATCTCTGTGAGGTATCTCTGTCTCATAGTAAAGCCACAGCACGGTTCACAGGGACCCCATTCTAGGGAGCAGAAAATCAGGTTCCCAGCCAGCCGGCAGGCACAAAGGTCCCAACTGACACCCTCCGTCCAGGGACCCTGGGTCCAATGGATGTGCCCCACTCCCAGCTCCTCTCTCTTGGTGGCCCTGGGTCCCCTCCTCCTCTGCTGGCCTCTCTCCTTTACTCTGGAGAGACAGACGCCGGTGCTGCTGCACACCCCATCCCCTCCTGGACATGGGACCAGGGCTGTGCCACTGTACCCCAGCCTCCTCCCTGTACGTCAGGACAGAGCCCAGCATGATCCTCTTGCACCTGGTGGCTGGTGACATCAGGTCACGTGACATTGTAGGAATGGTGGCATCACGAGGCCGCTGCTGCATGCCCTCATGGCATCACTGCCACCTCACCGGGAGCTGTGGCCTGGCTGCACCGACACAGAGTTGGGGTGGGGAGGACACACTTTGGTTCACTGGGGAGGATTTTGGTGATGTAGGGAATGTTTGTCTACACACAGCGAGTGGGTTTGTCTCCAACACGGGGCACGGAGGCAGAGCTTGTGGGGGCCGCGGGAGGTCAGCCTTTCCCGGGACACACCCACCCATGCACAGGCCTCTGTGCTTGCTCACCCTTCCAGGGTCCTGCCTCCCACGCCCGCCAGGCTTCTCCTCACCTCCGTGAGCTGCCCTGATTCTCTTTCACTCCATCACCTCCAGAGGCCCCCCACGCCCCCCACCCCGCGGTGCGGTCGAGCCTGGGGCCTGGCGTCCGTCCCGGGGTCCCCAGCCCACCGCTGGAAAGCATGCGGGCATGACGGCCGAGGGCCAGCGTGAGGCAGCGTCAGGAGCATCCCACACTCATTCGTTAGCGCTGCGTGTCCGTTGTCCGCTCGTCACTGGTGTCACTCCCGCCTAGCTGAGCAGCCCTGGTGGGCGGCGCGTGCACACTTCGTCCTGACCGGCAAGGTCAACCCCCAGGCGCAGCTCTGGCCCGTCCTGTGGGGTCTCTGTGGGCAGCGTGGACTCGAGGGCAGTAGGCCTGGTTCTGTTTTTTCTCATTGTTGTTGAGAATATTCACAGCAGAGCAACCCCCGCCTACACACACACACCCCTCCCTAAGTGTGCAACTCATACCCCTCATGCCACGCCTCCAGAGCAAAGGTCCCGGCAGTGTCTCTCCTCTCAGCCTTCCCCCTGCTGTCCAGAGTGGGCCACCAGACGGCCAGCCAGTCCTCTCACGTGGCTCTGCACGTTTCCGATGGGCTGAGATGGCCAGTAAGGACACCTGTCCGTCTAACTTGGTTTCAGGGGAGACTTGGCTCAGGCGTCAGTGGTCAGCTGGTCAGTCTCATGGAGCGAGGTTCCTCCTGTTCTCCAGCTGCTGCGCAGATGCCCCAGGGCTGGGCTCTGAAAGAGACACAGGCCGGCGCGAGTTGACATCGTGTGTTCGCAGCCGCTGCCGGCGCTGCCGGGGCAGAAGCTGTAGGCCCCGGCACAGGGTCTTCAGGGCCTCGCTCCTCTTCTCCGAGTTCCACTAAGCCGGCCTTGGAGGGAGCCCGGTCGGTGTGGGAGGCGCTTCGGGGAGGACTGCCAGCCTGGAGGCGAGGCCCTCTCCGGGGCTTCAGCGAGGGGCACCAGCCTTTTGGTTTTGGGGTGTGATCTCCCCAAAGGCTGTCCCATTGGTGGCATTGAGAGAGTTCCCGCCCAGCTAGCTGGGGCTCCTTCACCGGCCCGAGCGGCAGCAGGGGTGGAAGGCCACCCAAACAACAATTCCTACGTGTCCAGTCCAGCACATGAGCCCCACGCGTCCAGCTGCAGACACCCTCCCCTCCCGGTCTGAGTCGCCCCACGCCTAGACGCTCCCTGCCGTTACGCCTCCTGCCTGACCTTTCAGGCCGGACACAGAATGCCGTGACCGAGGCCCACAGTGGTTACCAGTTATGCTGAAGGGTGGTTTGGTTTGCAAAGACCTCGGCAGGATGTCTGGGGTTTAAGTGTTCGAGGCTGTTTTAGGGCAGTTGGTTTCAGGGTTTGTCCAGCTTCCGGGTCTCCAGAACCTCCAAGAGTTGAGGAGAATATCAGATTCCGGTCTGCTCATCCCCCCTTTTGATCTGGATTTTCTTCGGTAGAGCCTGTGATCCAAAGGGTCAGTAGCAGTAGCCGGGCCCCGTCGAGGTCTTCTGGTCCCAGAGCAAAGGGGGCAGCTGTTCATGGGGGGCAGGGAGCCTCCTCCTTCTCCTGACTCAGGATGCCTTCAGCTGCTCACGGCCTGGCTGGTGATGGGAGCCCACAGCCGCTCCTCAGGGGAGGGACGTGGCCTCTGCTCCCGGGGAGACTGGCAGCCTTGGAGCCCTGTGGGGCAGTTGTATTAGAGCCCTGTGGGGCAGTTCTCTTGGAGGACCTGTGGGGCAGTTTTCTTGGAAGACCTGTGGGGCAGTTCTCTTGGAAGACCTGTGGGGCAGTTCTCTTGCATGGCAGTGGTTTGGTTCTTTGGGAGCCCCCAACCCAAGGTACCCTGGTGGCATTGCAGTTCAGGGCACAGCTGCCCATCCTGCTCAGTGGTTAGAACCCACCAGTAGCTCCCCAGAAGAAGGATGGGGTCGTCTGCAACTGTCAAGATTGACAGCCTTGGGACCCCTGTGGGGAGGTTTCCCTCTGTCCTCCAGGGCCCCCATGTCCTCTGTTCTGCAGGGCCCCGTACCCTCGTCTTGCACAGCCCCCATGCCCTTTGTCCTGCAGGGCTCCTGTGCCCTCTTTCCTGCAGGGCCCCTGTGCCCTCTGTCCTGCAGGGCCCCTGTGTCCCCTGGCCTGCAGGGCCCCTGTGGGGAGGAGTCCCCTCAACAGCAGTGTGTTTGGGGTTTTCCTCCCCCGCCCCTGCTGCTTGGTGTTGTCGGGGCCTATGGTGCACCTTGGATGGCAGTGGTGCCCGTAGTGACGTCCGCCTGGCCAGCCACTTCCAGACCAGCAGTTGCCGAGAACCCCGGGCTGCGGATCAGGGTGAGGACTGCAGGCTCGGCTGCTCCTGCTTACCTGGTCCTGTTGTGCTCCCAGATTTTTGCTATGGCTGTCTTCAACTCCGGCTCGAAGCGACACATCCCGTACATCGAGAAGGTCTTCAACATGGAGGTGGGTGAGGGAAGGGGGTGGGTTGGATGGGTAGGTGGAAGGGAGGATAAGGGATCAATGGATGAGAGTGGACAGGTGGAAGGCCAACCTGAGGAAGGATGAGTCAATGTGTGGATGGGTGGATGGATGGGTGGGTGGTGGATGGGTGGTTGGATGGGTA